ACCACAAATACTGAAAGTTTCTTCCTGTTCCTTATTCCTACCTTATTAGCTGATGTATTTGCTTATTAAATGATATTTTAATCTGAAAGATATGTCAACAATTACTCTGATAGTTTTAGGTTTAAAAAAAATCTTTATCTACAATGTGCTTTGGTTTCACACCTTTTCTCTTTGTTAAAAAATCAGGGACATCTTTCTTGGGTTTAGAAATGCTGACATATGATTAAGTTGTGGCCTCTTTAGTAATCTCTGTTTATGTACATTAGTGAGTTGTAACTGAGGTAAAATTTTATAGTGGGTTTGTATTATGCAGTTGATCACTTCCTAATTCTTATCAGTTCTAGCAAGATGAATACCTAAGTATCTCTCATTTTTTGACAGTAAGAATTCTACTGAAGGTTTTCAACAGAGCATTCAAATAGCAAGCAAGTAAACAAAACAGGCTTTGGATGAACATAATTGATAAAGTGATCATTAAATGAGTGAACAACAGATCATGCAGATTAGTTGAATTATTTGATCAAATGTTTAGGTTTTCCATATTCGTAAAAAAAAATATTATTAGTTCTCATTAATTTTCAAATGAAATTTATTACAAAAGAAAATTGTTGCAAGACTAATAAGAATATTTGCTGGATTGTGATCCTGCAAAAAATTACCTATTTGTTTAAATGTACAAGTGTTTTAATCAAATTTAATTTTTACAGTATTTTAACTGTTTGTTTTACTGGGGTCTTATTTTGAATAGTATTAGAATTAATGCAAAAAGTTGAAGTACTAAATTGCAGTAGCTTAATTAAGATGGTCAGAAGTAAAGTAAAGGGACTTGGAGTAATATTAAATTCCTTCTAATTTGAAGTTTTGAGGAGACTTTCTATATTTCTGGTCAACTGCTCTTGTACTGAGGAATCTGAATGATCAGGGCAATATATTCTAGAACACAGACTGACTGAACATAGATTATACAGATAGCTCCTATTCTATTTTAAAGGAATAATTTACCTTTCTAGATCAAGTTCAGAGGAACTGAAACAAAAGGTATAAAATAAATGGCTTACAAAATCTTAGCCAGCTATGTTGGGTTTGTATAAAATCTGCTTCAGATATGATTGTTATAGCAATATGTGAAGGCTATTGAAAAAACTATTTGTATAAAACTGAAGCATTTTCTCATTGATGAACCATTGTCCTGTTGTCACCGAGGAGACAACTTTTCTTCCATGCCAGAACTGAGCATTTAAAAACAGAACTGCCACCTCACTGTATACTTCCTACATTTCAGCTTGGATATTGTTTTGCAGTGGATAAAGCAATCTGAATACTCCAGAAGCCTCTCAGACTACAAATAGTTTTTTCATCCTAGACAGTTTTGCTGACCCAGACAGGTTAGGTGACCTCTGCAGGCTTCAAGTCAAAAAATATAAAGTATTAAGGGGAGATATTTCTTTTTAAGTAGGGGACACTGTTGAGAGTTTGATATCCTTTAGACAGATGTCTGAGAAGGATGTTTGACTTCTGGGTACCAAAAAAATCTACATATTGCTGTAGTTCACAACTTACTCAATGCCCACAGTGCTGAAATCCGATTGGAAAGATACTCCGAGTTATCCCATCTGTTCATTAGAGACTTTAAAATGGTTAGCCTGTAGCTATCACATTGTTCTCTGATGCATACCTCATTTCTTTCTGCAAGCTATTACGTGGTTGTTGCGTTCATTGGCTGCTCGGGTTTCAGGTACTTTTGTCATGGTCTGAGTGCAAAAGAGGCGGTGAAAGCTGGACGTCTAAATTAGGACAGAGTTAAGCTAGGGTATATGCTGCATTGTATATAGCAGCTGAGGGAATAACAAAGTGCTTCTAACTGCCTTCTTTCTTAAGTTTTTTTTTGTGGATCTGTGAAGTATTCTGTGTATATAATACCCCTAAGTATATCATAAAAATGTGTTTGTTTTTTACTTTTCAATATACTTCTATATTTATTTGTGAGTAAAGATCTTAGAACAGGACAAATAATGATCTCATAGAGAAAAAATATTTTGTTTTTTAGCTACAAACAAACAAAATTCTACATATTCAGTGTCTGTAACTGGATTAAAACTAGTTCTTGGTGTTAGCCTTACAGTAGGAAATGGGCATTTCTGGGGTTCCCAGCCCACATTAATCATTCACTTCCTGGCTCTCATGATTCAGATTTGTATGTGTAGTGTAGCAACACTTATCTGTAACGTAATGACTAAAGATTAACATTAACATAACCTATAAACAGGACAGCCCTGCTCCACTGAAGTAAGTTATTCTACCAAATTCTGTATAGGAGGAACAATTTGCTCAAGGAATTGGGAAAGTAGACCACTTACAAAAATACTTAAATCAAAACACAAATCCTGGATTTGTCTATTAAAAATGTTATGAGGAGGTGCCAAATCAAAACTACATTAGAAATATGAAAGGCATAAGAAGCTGATTGTGTAAGAAATCTGAGAGTGACTGTACATCTTATATATTCCACTTAATCCTGCCTCAAATGTTGTATCTAAAGAAGAAAATACTAGAGGTCATATGTATTATCTTACTTATATATATTCACTTTGTATGTGTAAGGTATATATCTCATATATAACATATAATATTAAATGAGAAAAATATTCTAAAGCAAAAAAAATGCTCAACTGAAAAATAATTTAGCTTTAGTGGAATTGATTTTTTAATTTGAATCAGTGACATATCAACACTATAAATTAACTAAGTGCATTCATATTGGGGGAGTCTATCCAAAGAAGAAAGTATGAATTGTCTTTTTAAATGGAGGCATGTACAGCTGACTGCAAAAATAAAAAGGAAAGAAAAATAATTACTTGAGAACGTGTATAAGAGTTTTTCCACATAGAGTTTTTCTTAATGAATTCTGCTTCCCTTCTCTTCCCTTCCCTGTATTTTCCTTTTATCTATCATAAATCTGATTAATGTTTTTTCCTACCCCTTCTGTATTTATGTTTCCTTAATTTAATTTTCTTCATCCACAGATATTAATGAAAATTTCAATTTGTTTTTACCGTAGATTTCTATTATTTTATCACCAAGTTCTGATCAAGAAGCATTTGTAACTTCTGCTTCTATTCACCTTTCTCCATCTTTTCCCATACATTTTCTTCAAAGGTGTTGTTTTCTTTAGTATTAATTTTTCTCTAACTTTATTTTATCTCCCCTTTTCTCAAAATTCTGTCTTTTCTGTGTGATGCACCATGGTTCATTCAGTTCTTCAATATTTCTCATCTTCTCAGCCTCTTTGATCTAATTCCCTCCCCTTTCTTTTCCTCTGTTCCTCGTTGTCTTTTTACTGCCCTTTTCACCTCTTGATTTTTTTATCCTTTTTATTTCCTGGATGATTTCTTCTGCAGCTAGGTTCACTCAATTACTACATACTCCTTCTATCTTTTTTCTTCTTTCAGTATCTCCTCTTGCACACCACCTCCCCTGCTGCTGCAGAAAGATGCAAGGCCTTTCTTCTCTTCCTTCCTGTTTGGAAGAGAAGTGTTTTCCTGCCTATCTTTTGAACTGGGAAGAGGACAGCTGCCTAAAGAATGACATTGTTGCTTAGCCCTCCAAGTAAAGTGGTGTGGAGATTCATCAGAGAGCTGGCAGTTATCTTGTCTCCTTTTACTTAAGTTACAGAATGTTTTACCCATTACCTTAGCAACAAGTATGGGAAGGAGCACATCAGTTACTGCCTAAACCTGTTTTCTTCTTTTCCCACAAGCCTTAAATATATGTGTGCTCAGACAGCAATAAATCACATAAACCCCAGGGTTTTCTTGTCTATAGTTGAGCTCTACCTGAAGAAGACTTCACTTGTTGCCATATGTGGCTTTTTGAGATGTCCATGGCAAAGGTGATACTTCCCAGGAAGAATCATACAGCTGTTACTTTAAAAGGTTGAAAACTCCTGAGGAAGAGATGAAAGGATCCCATTCTATGGATTGACTTATGGAAAAGAAATGGGTGCTGGAATGATTAAAACTGTTCTTTTCATAAAGGTGATACTAAGGAAATTAGTATATAGTGTTGGTTTCCTGACTTCCTGTGAAATCTTAGGATTTCATGCAGTTCCATTTCTTACAGGAAAAAATTTTCAGATAACTGCAGGAGTGGGGCCAACGTATCTGTAGGACAGATGGTGTCAACAGCAATAAAATGTATCACTAGTAGTTTACAGCAGATGACAGATAACATGTAAAACAGATGTTCAGGAGAGACAGTTGGACATGAGCTTAATGGTAGCCTAGCCTAAGATGGGTTTTCTGAACTATAGGCTCTGTTGAGGAGGGATGAGATTTAACTTCATATATGCACAGTATATCTAGTATGACAGGCACAAAATCTGGATAGTCTAAACTCCACATCTATACAAATAATGCCAATGAATATTTTAAATGCTTGGAAACTGTGCATATTAAACATTAAGTAGCTAAAATGAAGTGTGTGATGAGCCATTTAATTTAGTTCTAATACATTTTTTTAAAAAGCCAAAATAATGAGGAAAGAAAAAAATCATTTGTTCATTTACATGTAAAATGAATAGAAGAAGAGCTTGATCACTCACTCTACCTCTTCCTGACAAGGAAGGATGAGTGAGGAGGTTCTGTATAGATCAGTTAAACATTCAGTGTTTGCTTTCTCTTTTGAAAGAAGTCTTAGGTGCTATTTGATTGGACGATGTGAGTGCTTGTCATTTACTACCCAGTAGCAGGATAAAGCCTCACAACTACTAGCTTAGCAATTCCATCTCTTTTTTTGGTGTTCTAAGAGATGAGATAGAACACACCATTTCCTACCTATTTCCTACCACGGACACTGTTTTCCAAAATTGCACTAAATCTCCGTGTCCCTTGCAGGAAGAACACATCAGTTGTTTGCCATGTTACCAGCCTTGATAGAATTGTGCTTCCCTAAAATAAGTAGGGTTTTTTTGTTGTTCTTTTTGTTTTTCCAGCCTGGCCTACCTTTTGTGCTTTTGGCATATCAGTGTGGCGCTGAGCACGTACAGAGCGTGCAGATTTAGGTGGCTTTATTGGAGCACAATACATCTCCAGCCTCCTCAGGTCACAACTCTGGAAGCAGCATTCATCCACTATTCCCTTGTGGTGTAAGCGTCTACTGCTGGATCCATACCCTGTAGGCTTACCTATTCAAAACACAAATGGAAAATTTTTATGTTAGAAAGAAATGCAAAGATCTCAGCAGCAGTCATATTAAGTTGCATTATTTTAAGTGAATCACCAATGACAGTTGTAGAGGCTGCCTGTGTGTATTTATTCTAAGACGCTGTTCTCAGATGCAGCTTAGAAAGATACTCCTGGAAATGGCCACCTTTGATCTCTGTCTATGGGTGGTTGCTATTTAAGCATTTGAGCAAAATTATATCTTAGAAAAGTATTATGAAATGACTTTCCTGAAATCCCTTGGCTTTGAAAATGGGGAGGGAAGAAGAAATCTGGCATTTAGAAGCCTTGCAAAGGAAATTTGCCCTTTGGATGAAAATTGACTGTTGAGCTGACTGAGGTAGCTGGTGTTTAAAGATCATACATCATTCCTGTCTTGTAGGCAAGTATTTTGTAATGAAAAAGGCTACACTGAGCCTCTATGTGAAGTCGGAGTGTGTTCCAAAGGGGAAATAAATACTGTATACCACTGCACAGGTTGTAAGCACAGGCTGTTATGTCTGCAAGCTCAAAAACTAGTGGGAAACAGGAAATAACGCAAGACAGTAACCAATGAAATGCAGCAAAAATAGGAAGATGGTTGATGGAACAGATAAAAGCAGAAGACTTTATATTCTGTAAGTTTGCACAAGATAGAAAACAGGACTGGCATAACATGGTGTTTCCTGTGTTTTGTGTTTGTACTGGGCATCTGTAGAAACTACTTGATTGGCAAAAGTTTTGCATTTTTCACTCAGCTCTAATAGAAAGTAACACTTTCATTCATAGAACTCTTATCTTTCTCCTTTTTTTTTTTTCAGTGATTTATGTTTTCTTTAGTAACTATTGATTTCTCTGCTATATCAGGCAAAGATTGCAGACCTGTTATTTCCTGGGCTTGTTTGTATGCAAACCGATTGGATGTGCAATTGCCCTTTTATGAGTAACTAGAAAAGAAGTAACAGTAAATTCACAAAAATAAGTAGTTGCTTACTTGCTACACCTATTTTAAAGTTCTGTTAGAATTTGTTTTCAGACAGTAAAATTCTGAAAAGATGAAATGTTTTGTTTTGACATTTTCAACATTAAATATTTCCATTTACGGAATGATCCACATTGGTTAAGAACCCAAAAATATGTAAAAAAGTAGAGAATTGCACCAAGAGCCAAAAAATGAAGTAACTCCATTCAGTCAGCTCTACCAAATTTTTTTTCTTGCTTTTTCCCCTCCTTCAGTTTTATCACTGAGACCAAAAATCTGTTATTCACAAAGTTTGGCAGGAGTTTATGTTTTAAGAAATTACTCAAGCTAGATAAAGGATAAAAGGGCATCAGAAGAGATGAAAAATCAATTTCTCTTTGGGAAATTATTGCCTCCAATGCTTATACAGCAAATTCTAGGTTAATAGACATATACTTGTCCTGCAGTTTTCAATTTGAAGGCAGCACAACATTTTGCAATTGTCTGTGATTAAAACATATGTCCACTGATGAAGAGCCCTCGAGGCCTTAGTACATCCATAAATGAAAAAGACCTCTAGTGGTAAAGTCTGTCTAACATTTTAGCCAGCAATACAGTCAGCTAAGAGCTTACTATCCCTACGAGCTTTGTAAGCCCAGACAATAGTTTTTTTTAGTGTTGTTTTTTTTTCTTCCAGGGACTATAAATTAAACAAAAAGAAAAACATGCTTACTTAGAATATTGTAATCCACTGAGGGCCTCTGTATTGTACAGTGCCTGCTAAATTGTTTGTTTCATAAGACTAAACAGAACAGGAAGCCAGGAGTAGATTACAGTAATATTTTGATTTGTCTGTGTGTGTGTGTGTGTGTGTCTGTGTGTGTCTGTGTATCACTGAAAAGTATTATAAATATTAAGACATAGAGTTTTAGGTTTTTTTCCAGACTGTTTTCACTCTACAATATGAAGTACAAGGATTTTTCTGAAGTCTGTTAATAAGGTTTTCTTAGCAGTCATGATAAAATGTGGAACATTATTACTGTGGGGGATACCCAGAGTTGTTTCATATTTTGTTTTGCTCCCATATGGAAGGGCAAATTCTGTTCATGGATATGCAGGTGTAACTCTTCCTAATAGGTTGAGCTGAACTGTAGGTACAAATAGTCGGTTAGTCAAGCTTACCTTTCTTTCCTCAGTCTGTCAATTTTTCATAAGGAAAGAATGGATAGAAGAAATCTTCCTTCCATGAGTAGCAAGACAATGACTGATAGTGGCATTTTTTATGGGATCCACTGGTATATGAAGGGGGTTATAAAGGAAGTGGTCAAATGAAATGTAATGGTTTGCAAGGTCTGAAAATTTTGTTGTTTAATATGGCTAACATTTAGCTTTGTCGTGATTAAAGACAAAGATGAACTGGTTGGTAGAAGTGATTATTTTATTTTTTTTTTTGGAAAAACTTTAATCTCCTTTAACAACAAATAGTTCTTTCCAGTTTGTGTTGAGCCTGTACTTTACATAGCATTGAGTGTATTTTGCAGTTTTAAATGTAGCTCAATTATATAATCTGATGCTTTCTTTCCTTAATTCTTTTTTACTCAAGACATAAGATAAAACAGTGACATGCAATGGGTTATACAGCATTCTACCAGCCTATCAGTATAATTTCTTGTATGAGCTTTATGACTTTATGACTTTTTGGTAAATACAGTAATTTCAGTGGGAATATGATTGATTTTTGACAGTACATAAAGTAGAAGAATTAGAGCCATGTACTCTAACTTTTAATAACATCACTCATTTACTTGTGTATGATGTCTTCCCAATAAGTCAAGCAGGAACTTACACTTTTTTTCTGTTAGTTGGAAGTAGTCAGTTCTGAATTTTATTCTCATCTAGCTGCTATCTTGTTGTGTGATTACATGGAAGTAATTTTACCCTTCAGTGTCTGAATTTTGCCATTTATAAAGTTGATAAAATACCTTGAATAACCCATGAAGCATTGCCTACCTTGTTTAGTAATCAGTAGCAACATTTCTCTTGTGTTATCATATGCATAAATAGTTAGCACAAATCCTGAATCCTGGAATCTTTCAAGTGAAAATCTCAATGTACTTCAAAATTATTTTTACTGTAGCCAGACCAAAGACATCTATGAGTTGTTTTTATTTATGATTGAATAATAACTTTATGAAGAAGGATATAGTATCTTACAGCTCTTTAAAAAACCTGTATGGTACACATAACAAGTTTGGAATAGAATCACTAACATATCAGTGATGTGGTCAGCAATGAAACGAGGCATTTATTTACAGACTTAAATAATCATGTACTAAGTGATATACTAAATGCTCATCTTTCATAAAAAGATAACATTATTATTGTGATGTCAAATGTGTTGGGTTTTTTTTTCTTTAAAAAAAAAAAAAAGCTTTCCCAAGGTTTTTGGAAGTCCTAAACAATAAAATATACTTAAAATTCTTATGAAATAAAAAGTGATATTACCTAAAGTGCTGTACAATAGATAGAGAAAATAAATAGAAAAAAATAAGAAAAAGTATTATTTTTCAGTAATCATGATTCTGGACTCTACTTTTGAGAAGTATCTGATGTCTAAATTAATTTTAAACCAATAGATTTTACATTGCTGCTGTCCTCTTAAATGCTGCAGTATACAAAAGATGCTATCACAGACAAAGATGAGACAAAGAATTACAAGGAGATACTACCAGTTCTACAGATATTATCAGTATTTGGCTCATCTTCTTCTGGAAAGACTGCAGGATCAGATGGTCCTAGTTCATCAAGTTACCAATGTACGCACTTATATCTAGGCAAACGTTCAAGCTCCTCCACAGTCTGTTGGACGAAAGCACATATTCAACAGTAAGCACATGCCCGAGTCCTCTCCTACATAGGGACTGACATAACTAAGAACTTAAGTTAATTTTTAGTCCAAAGCCTGTATTAGTAAATAAATGGCTGGTGGTTCTGCACATTCAATACCAGCTTTCTGTTCCTTAATTTTTTTATTATATTACCTTAAAATACTGACTGATCCTGCTGCGTCAGTATACTGGGTGCCCGTATAGTTCTTTCTCATCTTTCTGACACAATTTGAGTGCTGCCTTCCAGCTGTTATCAAAAAATTCCTTATATTTACACAACTTTCAAAGTGCTGCCTGTGGACATATAACAGTCCTAGGCATTCCTTTTTGCTGACGTACTCTGATTTCCTTGGAGGTTTCTTTCCTTTTTTGTCAGTTGTTAGCTCAAAAGAGGTTTCATATCATTTACGTCAAAGTTTACTGACAGAATTTTTGGCTCTCATTTAATCTGCTGTACCAAATATGTGAATGTTTCTTTCCATGTGCTACAAGCAGATACAAAGTCTAGTCACAATGTTGTGAAGTCCCCTGAAAGCAGGCCAAGGCACAGAATTCCAATAGTTAGACAGCTGGCTTCCATATTAACGGCACTTCCCTTTAAATAGTGCAAAGTCAATGGAGTAATTCAGCAGGGCTTGCTTACACTTGATTTCTTTATTCATCTTTTCTCCAAACTGTCTTGCTGATGCTGCCACGGGTTCTGCTTTACTGATGGTTTCAATGTGAGAAGCACTGGTGTAGGTGGACTATAGCAGTTTCAATTGCCAAACTAGCTAGGCAGAGGATTTAAATTGGAAGAGGGCAGATTTAGACTAGATACTAGGAAGAAATTCTTTACTCTGAGGGTGGCAAGACCCTGGAACAAGTTGCCCAGCGAAGCTGTGGATGCCCAATCCCTGGAGGTGTTCAAGGCCAGGCTGGATGAGGCTTTGAGCAACCTGGTGTAGTGGGAGGTGTCCCTGCCCATGGCAGGGGGGCTGGCACTAGATGATCTCTAAGGTCCTTTCCAGCCCAAAACATTCTATAATTCTGTGATTCTGTGGAGAATTACAACCTACTGTTGTAGCATTAATGTTAGAAACTACATGAGAAATAGCCGAGGATAAACACAAAGCTAATCTACTGTTTAGAGGAC